CATTGCAAAGATAACTGACATAAACAAAAGAAAACAACGAAATAAATCACAGGCCAGAAAATTATACAGAAATAAAAGCAAACTATCAATGAATACTAAAGGTAATTCTTACAAACTAATCTCAAATGCTCTGCAGTATTTTGACCAAGGCTTAACATGCACCCGACTGAAAAGTAGACACTAAATTATCTTTGATTTGGGGTCGTGAGTTTTCTTCGTTTTCAGAATTGTTGCTTTCTTTTTTCTTACAAAATTTGCTCCGAAGAATTTGTCAAACGCAAGAGTAACTCCTAAACTTCTTGCATTATTGGCTTACGTAGCAGCTTACCTTATTAGTATCGTACTGGGCGTAGTCGATATCTGTATTTACTTCAAACGGCTCCACTTCGTTCTGCAATGGATCAGCAGTTTTCAAAATACGATGGCGCCTAACTTTGAAGAGTTGGTGAGACCTCAGAATACAGTAGTACCTAAGACAAAGAAGTGGGGGAAGATTTTCAAAATATAACTGGCACTTGAAGTTTTTTTTTCAGTTTTGCTTTCTTTACTTTTTGTTTAAGAAATTTGCACATCCGCTTACCACACCGTTATGCATAGCAAAAAAAGAAAACTCTGTGTTGTCTTTGTTAAAAATTTTTGATAAAAATACAGATATTGACATGTGTGGAGTCGAAGTTTCGTGATGGCAAGAGATATCTCTTCTTTTCATTAGCACAACTGTCCCTCAAATTCCCTTATCAGTGAAAATCAGGAAAACAATAATTTCAATAATTTAAAACATTTAATGAACTAAAAGAAAATTCAAACATTTGTGCCTTACGCTATCTGGAGCAATGATGGGTGTGACGGCAGGCGTGAATGCTTGATCCTGTGTGGTGCCACTTCGATCTGAATCGATCCTTTGCCGACTGCTTCCTGTCGTCGTTAACTTTTCTGATTCTGGCCGAGCTGCAAACGAAGTGGGAACATTCTTTACAAAAATGACAGTATAAATGTTTTTTATGATTTTTAGCTGAAATGCTGAATATTAATGAAATCTTTTCACAATTGCGATTTTCTGGGACAATTTCTGCCAAATTTATTCTTCAGGGTTATCATCCTCGTTTAAAACATCGAAACTCCCTCAAACCAGAAGATTTTTTGACTTCTTTCCAAACTTCGGAGAACTGATTGGTTCTGAAATTCCAGTCGCTAGTCTGTCATCTCCAAACATTTTTTAATGTATTTTAGCTTTTTTTTAATAGCAATTTCCGTATTTTAGGATCTTTTTTTAATAAAAATTCACTTGTTACTGTAAGCTCAGCACAAAAATTATGAACTTTTGGTAATGTTTACTTTCAGTTCCGGGTAAAATGAGGGTGAAAAAACTAGAAAATACGCGTTAGACGACAATTTCTTAACTTCTTTGAGCCGCTGTAGTCATCAAACTTAGTACTAAGTAATTTTAGGTTTAAGCTTTGCACTGATCCCAAATTAGAATTGCCTGGTACAAAATTTAGTGGCTTCCTTGCCGGGGTCCTTTTTTTACAGGACGAAGTTCATTTAGAATTTTACTTCCCTTTGTTTTAATTTCAGTACTCGCCGGCTGCGAAAAAGTGTTCATGGTTGTTGCCAGAGAAGTCAACAGAACGTTGAAAATGTCAGACAAACACCATTTTAGATTTCATAAAAGAAAAACACCAAAATTGATGGCGCATTCCATCCGGGGGTAGAAAAAAAAAGAAAATCCAACAAAGTGCTCACTTACCTTTCCAATCGATTGCATCTCCTTTTAAATTCTTATT